CTCTAATGGGGGAGCTAGTAACTTTGCAGAGGACCAATTATGCCATGAACCAATCCATTATTACCCTACTAAAGTCTTTGACACCAATGCATTACTTTCCAATCTAAAACTGTACTAAAATTAACTCATACAACCCCCAATATTTCGTGTCCAATATATATATAATATTTTAGACTGTTCATGAAGAGAAGGCACTTAATCACTGGACAGCCTGGACTTTGAATGAAGAAAAAAAATTTGAATTTTAAGAATCATAAAAGGAAAGATATAAATTAGAATATAGCTATTGTCAAGAAACCCACCTGGAAATGGAACGGCAGGCTTTGGCACCGGAGGATGGAGACTGGCGGGTCGAAGATGCGTAGAGGCGGCGGCGATTTCAAGTGTAGAGACGGTGAGATCGTAGAGTCGAGACTGAGAGATGAAATTTTGCCGACCTTGGAAGAACTAATGGCAACTGGTAGATGAAATCTTGTCGAGATGCTCTTCGAATGAACCTGAAAATCGAAATAATGAAAATCGAGCTTAACGTCAATACAATGAAATCGACTTCATCAATTATTGCGGCACCAAGAAATACCGTTCAATTTCTTCTTCTTCTTTGCTATTGTTGCTAATGCTTCTTCCATCCCCATTTTCTTTGTGAGCCGTTGCCTTCACTGTGAGTTTAAACAATGGTTTTGTGTCTTTAGGTAGAAGGGTATAAAGGGCAAAAAGAAAATGAAAACTTTTTTGTTTTTTTTTTAAATGCATAAAAGTGGTCAAGGGCCAAAAAAAACNCGAGAGGAAGCCAAATAATTTATTTGTTATTTGAAATCAAAATATATAATAACAGAAAGAGGAAGTCGGTTTGCAGAACTTAGGTCGGCAAAATTTTTTGACATTTCACCGCCTACTTTTTTGAAGAGAAAGAGTAAGTCGGTTTGCAGAAGTTAAGTCGGCAAATTTTTTGGACATTTCACTGCCTACATTTTTTACTCAGGAAAGAGAGGGAAAACATGAGAAAAGGAAAATACGTCCTAAATGAATAGTGCACGAAAGATTGCCTCTTTTAATTGAAGAGGGATTATAAAAAGCACTTTTCGGCTTACTTACTTTACTGGATTAAATCATGATATCGATAAGTTAATATTGACAACTGCGAAAATATTTTTCTATCTTGAATTTCAAGAATTGGCGAAAGGTGCGCCACCATCTTTTTATCTGTTTAGGACCAAATCTTCAATGTGATTTATACCCGAGTGCTATAAGAGTAAAAAAATATATCCTTTAATATGTAGCAGACCATTTCATTGTTCTATATGGTCGACTGTTGAACTTCGTTTAACCTTGTTGACTAAAAAATTTAAAAAAATTCTTTAAATTTGTGAAACTTCTCTGAACACTCCTATATGTTTCATCGGAGAATCAAAATCACTCCCAAAAGACAAATTTTTATTACATTTCGAAAAAACTAAAAAATTAACTCATTTGAAATTCAAAAAAAATAAAATAAAAAATTAAGCATTAACAAATTTGTGAGACAATAACCACTATCCAAATCCCTAGTCCCCAATATTTAGACCTGGTTTTAAGTCTCCATCCGCAGAACTCTCTCTCTCTCTCTCTCTCTCTCTCTCTCTCTGTATATTCCGTATCCTCTCTCTAAATTTATTTTTGTGTAGTTAGACCATGAATGGTGGCTCCTCCAATTCGGCCGGTGGGGCCGGCGATGGAGCATCCAAATTGCTCGCTAACCTGCCCTCTCGCGGCCTCTTGTCCGCCCATGTAGTTTCATCAAACATGGTATATCTCAATCCCCTAAACCCTAATTGTTTTTTTTTTTTTATTATTCTTTGACATATTTAAGGATGTTGATTCTATTTTATGTTTGGAATTTGGAATTGAGGACTTTGAAGGGTTTTGGTTTTAGGAACTTAAAAGGACAATGCTTTTTGATGTGATTGAGAAATGAATTTTGCTAATCAAATGGAGATATTTGGAATTAACTTTTTTAGGCAAGAAACGATAAGAGTAAATGAATTTATTTGATGATGTAGACGAATGGGAGTGATAAGTGCTGTGTGCTTTGGAATATAAGTTTTGTGCAAGCATGGTTTAATTCACATGGTTCAGTAACTTCCTTTTACGTGGCAACGATTGAATGGTGATCAGACTGTTCCAGGAA